CTAGCCGCTTGTGCGAGGTCAGCAGTTTCTCCAACGGCAGGATAACTCTTCGCAGGTAGCTGTCATCCTTGTTGTTGTCATACTGCCACTGTGCATCCAGTACATCGTGCATAGTCACCATGTTGTCCTGCAACGACACAACCCCTCAAAACTCTCCTACAAGCCACCAACTCAAAACACACACAAGAAAACAACTAAAGTCCAACTGCAAGTAGTGTCCTAAAAGGGAGTGAAAAACAGATGCCCAACCCAGAAGCATCAAAAAAGCAACCTAAAAGAATACTTTCCATCAACAGCCTGACATCAGCCTGACTTGTGCTGCTACAGACTTCAACCTTCCTAATCTCAGACAGCACTTGGATCTATTGTATAAGCTCTGTCCACATGAAACTTGGAAATATGACCAAACTTAAAGCAAATACCTGGAACTTCTAGACAAAGATTAGTGAGCAGAAGTCTAAATTAACCAGCTCTTCAATCTGTGACATGGAATAAATTCTTGAAGCAGCTCGAAGCACCCAACACCTGGAATTCAGAAATGACTGCCAGTCATTACAGCTGTAGGAAGACCATACATGGGTGGGGAAGCACTTGCACTCTGATACTCCTGCCTGGCAAGGAAAGAAATTAGTTCCGGAGTTTGGACCAGCAGCCGATCCAGCTACGATGGGACTGGAAAGACTGTACAAGTATTCAAGACCATACAAGACTGCATCTACCAGGCTCATTTCAATGAAGTGTGTTCCCTGCATCGTGCCCTGACACCAAGCGGTCACAGATTGCTAAGCAGACAGCTCACACCCCTTAACTTGTGGCACATGCATGGTTTGTAGGCTGAGAAACACAGGTGGCTTAAACCAAACTTTCAGTCACCATGGTGCACTTCCCAGTCACTTACTATCCCAAAGCTTAATTACCAGAACAGGGGCAACACCCTGAACTGAACTCAACACTTTGGTTACAGACTGTCTATGGCAAGAGCTCCCACGTTTTTGGGGCTATTCACAGAACTCCTGCCAGCCACCATGCACCTATACCGTCTCCCAACACTGTAAAACTCACACAGTTCCAAGGAACTCTTGCAATTCTGACAACATCCAATTTTCTGGTTATAGTTAAAGCTAACACTCTACCTTCTCTCCCAGGATGCCTGAGCGCACTCTGCGGAGCTCCTGCATCTGGCCCCCCACACCAAGCAGTAAACCAAGGTGAACACAGAGCGTTCGGATATATGTGCCTGCTTCACAGCTCACCCAGAAGATACCTGAAATGCAGGATAGGATAGAAAAGTCTTTAAATGCACATCTAGAAATGTACTACAGCTAGAAGCTCCCTCTGAGAGACGCTGTATGTCAAACCCTTCACAGAACCATCAGCCTGGGGTGATAGATGAAGGTCATCTTTGCACTGAGTGCTAATGCCACCTAATTGACATCATTTGGCTCTTCAATGAAGGATGCACTAGTACAAAAAATAGATGGGATTTGCTTCTCAGCACACCAAAGCAATGCATGAAGAAGTTACTGATGGTGGTGAGGAATAATGTCTTACGACATCTGCCAAAAATAGGAAGCAGAACATTTCACAGGAAAATTTATCAGCTGCCAGCTTAATAGGAAGAAGGCTGGAATGCCCTGGTTTACCTAATCTTCTCTCAGGATCATATTCCACCAGCTTGCTCTCATAGATGGTTCTGACTCTCAGTTGTCGTTTGACAGCTGCAATGAGAGGTGGTCGTTGAAACAGTGCACCAGTCAGAGTTTCTATTGCCTGAGGGTAGAACCAGAAGAAGGAACAGCTCACATCTGTGTCCTAATGTAAGCAAACCTCAGAGTCTTCACCTACAACCACTTCCATGAGTAAGAAACCACAAGGTTCATCGTCATTTGGCGATGTCATATTTAATAAAGCTCATCTGAAACACTGATGTGGTCAAAATGCTACCCCAGCTGCCAGTGAGCACAGACAGGCTTTTTCATTAGGTCGCAGTATGTGATCAGACATCATTCCTCATCTCAGTGAGGACAGAGCCCCCGCAAAGAGGGGCTCCAACCCTGCCGGCACCACTTCACTCCTGCAGGCAGCCAGCCACCCACCACAGCAGCCCCCCGCACGACA